TACATCAGGAAGGGGGGCTAGGGAGGGGTAAGTGGAAGGAGGTGAGGGAGGAATGGGGCATGAGCCCCAGATGGGGAGAACTGGGGTGGCTCTGCAGGCTCCTTGGGGTGGAAGCTCACCTGCAGGGCCGCCTGGATCCGGACAGCCCCCCGATTGACGCCCCCCAGATGGCAGCCTGCGGCAAGTGCAGCCAGGCTGATGGCCGAATGCTGTGATGTGCCGAGTGTGGGCACTCAGGGCACTCCAAGTCAGGACTGCTTTGCTGTCCCTCATCGAGGTAGACAAGCGAGCGAGGAACCCTGAGAACTGTCTGTCCATGGTGGGGGTTGGGTCCCTTTAAGCATAGCCCTAGGTTAGCCTGAGACAGCAGCTCCACACTCTAAGTCCTAACCTGATGCCCTGCCAGCACTGCTTCCGGCCAGCCTTAACGTCGGTTCAGGGTCCACTCAATGTGGACATGCTAGTTCGAATTAGCAAAATGCTAATTCGAACTAGTTTTTAGATCTAGATGTACTAGTTCGAATTAGCTTAGTTCAAATTAACTAATTCGAATTAAGTTAGTTCAAATTAGTGCTGTAGTGTAGACATACCCTAAGGTGCCACAGGACTGTTTGTTGATTATACATGTGGAGAAGTAGAAAGAAAAGGGAGAGAGGGAGTTTTTCTAACAATATTGATCATCAGGATTCATATCACAACCATACCTGATTGTCTTTGCAGTCAGTCAGTCCACTAAAAGAAGCAACACACTGGTCAGAAGTATCCTGCAATTGCTGGTACCACTGCATAGTGCTCTCTGCTGCCTTAACCTGAAGTCCTAATACTAGACAAGAAAAGCAGTCACATAAAATAAAACTATTACCATAACAAAGATATCAGAAATCCTAACGTCCTACAAAAATTATCAAGACCCAGAAGTTTTGAGCAGTTATTGTTCTTCACAAACAAATTTAGAAAGGCAGTTATATTTAAGGCTAAGGGGGTGGGCAATAATTTTTAACAGTGGGAGGGTACACCAAGATTTTGGCAAGTGGTCATGGGCCACATTTCTATTGAAGGGATTTGGGATCTGGGACAGAGTTTGGATGCAGAAGGGAGCTTGGGGTACATGAGGGAGTCTAGGTGAAGGAGGGGGTTGTGATCTGGGGCAGCGGTTTGGGGTCCAGAGTCCAGGAGGGAATATGGGTGCATGAGAGGATTTTGGCCTGAGGGAGGGGCTCTAGGAAGAGGTGCAGGGTCTGGGAAGGAGTTGTGACCTGGGTGAAGGGGGTGCAGAGGGTTTGGGTGATGACTTGGGGCAGGGGAACAGGGTGCAGAGTCAGGGAGGGAGTATGGGTGCCAGAGAGGATTCTGGCCTGGAAGAAGGGTCTGGGAGGGAGTTGTGACCTGGGGGAAAGGAATACAGAGATTTTGGGTGGTGGCCTGGGGCAGGGAGAGAGGGTGGGGGTGCTAGAAGCAGGCTCTGGCTGGGAGACGCTTACCTAGGCAGCTCCCAGTCAGCAGCCCTGCAGGAACCTGAAGGCTGAAGTCACAAGCTGCTTCACATGGCTATGCTACAGGCAGGGAGAGGGAGGGAGGAGGCTTCATTGGCTGCCCCTGCTACCAGCAAAATATCTCAGCTGTTACTGGTCAGTAAAGGGCCAATGGGAGCTGAGAGATTTTACTGAAGGGCAGGACAAAGCACAAAGCCTCACTTCTAGAATAGAGCAACCACATTTAAAGTGGCTGCTGCTGTGCTGTGCTGTGCTTAAATGGTCCTAGCGAGACAGCTGTGGGCCAGACCTGGTGGCTTGGCGGGCCAGATCTGACCCACTGGCTGCCTTGATCTAGCCCCCTGGCTGCCTCTTGCCCACTCCACCTAAGGCTTCAAAATCTATACAAAAGTCCACCCTTTGATGGCTCCTGTGCCTTGATTTTTTGAACTTCAATTACAGCCAAATAGTAAGCCATTCTGGAGACATTTCTGTATGCATCTGATAGCAGAGGTGAGGAATTAGAAACTGCCCCTTTTAGTAATCTGTAACCTAGCACACACTGTCCCACCAGATTCTACCCTACTTTATTAATAGACTATGCCCTCCTGCCCAGCATGATGTGTATTGTTCAAGAATGACTGCTTTTGCTTCAATTAACATAACCAGTTTACGAAACATCAACTGCAGTGTCAACGAAGCTTTCTACCAGCAATCCCATACCTTGATAAGCTCCAAGCCAAGCAGAGCTAATCAACTACCACAGATTATGTGTTTCTGAACCTGTGTTCAGTTTGGTAGACCAGTGGAGTTCAGTGAAGTAAGGCAGGTCTCACAGGAGCTGGACCTACCTTCCTTTTTCTCTCTTCCCGTAGGATGTTGTACAGGAACGGGAGTCTGGGCTTTCAACTGCTCTTGTTTCTGTAACTGCTGCTGCCTCTCTCTCTCCTCTTCTTCATCCCGCTTCCTCTTCTCTTCCACAGCTGTGGCAATTTCTTGCTGCATACTAGCTATTAATCCTCGCATTTCCTGCAGTGCTCGCTCAGTGTTGGCTACATCTACCTGCATAGGGAAACCTCTCTACCACAAAACAAGGAAAAGGCAAGTTAAAATTAATGCTTGTTCTCCCTAAAAAGAGACTAATTGTGGGGCACGCAGGCTGTCTCTGCTACCCCTGAACTGTACCTAGACACTTTGTGCAGAAGCTGTGACTCTAAAGCACATACTATCTACTATTCCAAACATGCAATGTCAATACCATTTTACTGGAAAGCCCAGACTGCTTCCTCCAGAACCAGTGATTAAGTCACAGCATTAGTCAAGAGACGCAAGCTCATGGCCTTTAGTCACTTCCTAGTACACAACAGACAAGGCAGAATTTCTGTCTCCTACCTCAGTGTACACCAATTACTGAAGACTTCTACTTACACAGTCATGTTCTAGAAACAGAAAAGGATCCACCACAATACAGCTAAATAAGTGGCACCAGTTTACTTAGTTTAACTAAGGTACAATAGCCACCTTTACAAACCCAACACAGACAATCTAGTAAAGGGATCAGACAAGACTCTCAATACATTAGTTCCATTAACAGGGTTGGATAGCACAACAAAAAGGGATCATGCTAGAGAATCAAGTCCCTGTAGCCTGATTATCAGTTTCCCTTTATCCCCACTGGGAAGAGGGCTCTGTCAAATGCCAGCTAAAGCTGAAGTTACAAGACATTTATGAAAGACTGGAATTGAGAACCAGCCCAGCCCATTGCAAATTTTAGAAGTATATTGTTGGTTTCCTCTGTCTTCCACCTTTCATATAGAGAAGAATAGTTTTGTGAGAAAACCTAGATGCTATAGGAAAGCTTATGAATGCTGAAACCTACTAAACACTGCATCATTTAATCTCAAACAGCGATTTGACTATCCATTCCAGTTCTAGCACGGTCTCAGAAAAGACACATCCAACATAAACATTTTACAGTATGTTTAATGTTAAGGAGCTCTTCTCCAGTAAAAATCCCCTAAGTTTATATAAGCCTTTTTCAAGGAAGCCTCTAAAGTGCTCTGAGGAAGATTCTCTTTCCTTCAGATTAACCACTGCACAAGAACTGCATTTATAAGTCTTCTGTGGCAACATAAAATCTCAAAGTGCCTTTCAACTAGTGTCTCCTTCCAAGGAACGAGAGACTAACTTAAAAGGAAATCTAGAACCTCATTACCTCACTAGTAGTGCGAATAAGTCCGGACACTAGCCCGCAGATCTGGTTGCCACGGTTACTGAACGCGGAGAGATCTATCCTTGGCAAGTCTTTATGTCTGTAGTTGGGGTCAATCTGCTGATTAAGCTGCAGCACTTCCTCCTGTATAGAATAGAGGCGTCGCAACCTTTCCTGGCCTTCTTCCTTGCGCAGACGCTCCAACTCTTCCTGACGCTGCCTCTGCTGTTCTGCTTCACGAAGTTTCAGGTTTAAAATCTGGAGAGGAGGGAATGACAGTTTAAATATAAGCCACACAAATAAAGCTTTACTCACAACACTACCTACTCAGCCGAGGCGGCGTTTCAAAGGGGCAGCGCTGCACTGAGCCCGGGATCAGCTGTGTGGTGCTGCCGCTTTGAAGTACCCTCTCTTCCTCGCTCTCCCCCCCCCCATTGCTGCCTCTATCTGATAGAGGCAACAAGGGGGGGGAGGGGAGAATTGGATAGTCAACTAGTCCTTAATATCCTTAGTCCGCACACAAACTTAAAAGTTCTGGGTTTAATCCTGATATGAAGAAGAAAAAACTTGTGGAACAAATTGGTAAACTTAACAGTAACAAGTCACTGGGACCAGATGGCATTCACTCAAGAGTTCTGAAAGAACTTTAATGTGAAATTGCAGAACTATTAACTGTGGTTTATAACCGATCCTTTAAATCGGCTTCTGTACCTAATGACTGGAAGATAGCTAATGTGATGCCAATATTTTAAGAGGTGATCCTAGCAATTACAGACCGGTAAGTAACATCAGTAGCGGGCTAATTAGTTGAAATTATAGTAAAGTATAAAATTGTCAGACACGTAAATGAACATAATTTGCTGTAGAAAAGCCAACATGGTTTCTGTGAAGGGAAATCATGTCTTACTAAAGTACTAGAGTTCTTTGAGGTGGTTAACCCAGCTGACCCTAGGTTCCGGGAAATGCCGCGTGGAACCCAGGGCCAGCGGTGGAGTTCCCCGTGACCCCAGGTTCCATGAGGGCACTTCCGCTTTGAAATGAGATTCTTGTACATTTCAAAGTTGGCACGCGGCGTGCAGCCCAGGGCCAGCAGGAAGCCTCACTGACTCCAGGCTCCACGCGGGTGCTTCCGCTTCCCTGGGGGCTGTTGTGCATTTCAAAGGGGAAGTGCCCTCGTCGCTGGGGAGAGTAACTAAGCAGCAGTTTGGCATAAAAAAGGACCTGGGAATTACAGTGGATGAGAAGGTGGATATGAGTCAACAGTATGTCCTTGTAGCCAAGGAGGCTAATGGCATATTAGGGTGCATTAGGAAGAGCATTGTCAGCAGATCTAGAGAAGTGATTATTCAGAAATGATTATTCCCCTTTATTCAGCACTGGTGAGGCCACATCTGGAGTAATGCTTTAATTCTGGGCCTCCCATTACTGAAAAGATGTGGATGCGTTGGAGAGGGTCCAGTGGAAGGCAACCAAGATGATTACGGGGCTGGAGCACATGACTTGATAGGAAAGGCTGAAGGATTTGGGCTTGTTTAGTTTGCAGAAGAGAAGAGTGAGGAGGGATTTGATAGCAACACTACCTGAGGGAGGTTCCAAAGAAGATGGAGAAAGGCTGTCCTCAGTAGTGACAGATGGCAAAAGAGGAGCAATGGTCTCAAGTTGCAGTGCGGGAGGTCTAGGTTGGATATTAGGAAAAGCTATTTTACTAGGAGGGTGATGAAGCACTGGAATTGGTTATCTAGGGAGGTGGTAGAATCTCCATCCCTAGAGGTTTAAGTCCCAGCTTGACAACGCCCTGGCTGGGAAGATGTAGTTGGGATTGGTCCTGCTTTGAGCAGGAGGCTGGACTCAGTGATGTCCTGAGGTCTCTTCCAACCCTATGATTCTATGAACCTAGTAGTTTGGGTGCTCACCTGCAATATGGGATACATCTGTGAACCCCCTAATCACTGGGCCTAACAAGTCAGTCACACAGACTTTCCCTCTGCCTTTTTCCAACCAGGATCTGAGAAATCTTCCCAATTAAAGTCTCACTGAACCTTCCTGAAAAAAGTTTCAGTCCTGAGATATCAGCATTTTCCAACAAAAAGTGTTTTACTGAAAAATTCCCATCAACTATGATCAGGACACAAAATTAGTGCACCTTTCTGTTTATACACTGAACTCAAACTACCAGAAAATAGACGTCAGGATGTTAGCCACACTTCACAAGTTAGGTTACAATGCCTCAATGACTAGCCGTATATGCAAAACTAAAAGTCCTGGTCCATCTAAGGTCACTAAAAAACTACTTTTAATTTCAACCCTAACTGCTTCTATTCCTGCAATGTAGTACAGTATCCTTAATGATGAACATTTCACTGGGATATCTACATTCCCATGAGGATGTAACAGATGTAGGAGCTGCACTGGGAAGTGCTTTTTCACTCTCCATGCATATTACACTAAGCATAGTGGAAGCAGTTAAATGTGTGCAAGTCCTAGTTTCCAAACACAGACCAACCAACCTTTCTTGTAATAGCACTACCCTTCCTAAGCTCACACCTTTGCTCTGTGGCGATGTTCCTCTTTCAACTTCTCCTGCTGACCCTGGGCCTCTCTGGAGCTGAAATACAAGCAGAAGAAAATGAGTGACCATTCCGTTCTCCAGAGAGCTTTGTATGATTCCTCATCTTCTCTCTCAAGACACACTCAGGATCAAGTACAATCTATGGACACGCTAGAGAAGCTATTTTTAAACTGGTTTAAAAGAGAACTCCAGATAGGTCTCCCTTTATCCACAACACGGCTACCCCTCTGATAGTTTTCAGTAAGTGCTTACTGAAAACTGGAAACCATCCTGAAAGATAAACAACAGCAGGACAAGAAATTCAAAGAAGCTGCACATGAGATTTTCAAGCATAAGTCACAGAAGTGTCAACTCTAGAGTGTCGGTTACACTCAGCCAGCTACCAGGGAGGTGGCTTCTGCCACTGCCTTGCTGCAGCGGGCAGCAAAGCCTCCTCTCTGGGAAGCGGGTGGACAAGGGCTGCTTGCTCTGCTCCTGGGGAGAAGGTTTTGCTGCAGCAGCGAAGCCACCTCCTTGGGAGTGGAGCCGGCAGGGGCTGCCAGCTTTGCTCCTGGGAAGGAGACTGCCCTGCTGTGGGGAAGCGGCTGCCCCAGGAGCCTGGTTCATGGGGAGGCTTAGCTGCAGGCTCTGCAGTATAAAGCTCATTTAAGCTTTCTCGTCCTCCTCTCCCTCTCACTTTATATTTCAAACTCTGGGCCCCCTGCTCCATATTAGTCATCTGAAGAAGTGGGTTTTGCCCACGAAAGCTCATGACACTATTTATATATTTGTTAGTCTCTAAGGTGCCCATTGTTGTTTTAAAAGTTTTTTAGGCAGACACTAACACAGCTACCCCTCTAAGATATTTTACAGAATTTGGTGAAGGCAGAGAAATTGTGAGATTCAGGAATCTTGAACTCTATGCTGGATGGATAAAAAAATTTTCCCCTGTGTGGATCCCGTCACAAAAGCCCCATCAGCTGTTTTCAAAATGGACTGTTTGGTGGTGCCAGACCTTCAGCCAGCCACTGTGTGGCAGCTCAGAGGGGCTGGGGTGAAAGTGTGGGCATGAGGTGGTGGAGAGCACTTGTCTTTGGGTCTCCTGCTCCTCCCATTAGGCAGAACCTGGCCAGTGGGAATGCAGGGAAAGGCTCCAGACAGCATGCTCGCATGCTGCTGTTACCCCAGCCCAGGAGGGGGAGCACTTCTTCCCCACACAATGAGACTTGGGGCTTTTTCTCCCCACCTTGTGCTCCAGGCCTCTGGAGCATGGAGCTGGCAGCGGCCACTTGCCGGAGGAGGGCCGGGGCTGTGCCAGGGGGCAGCGAGGAGAGTGGCAGCGGACCCGACATTCCTTGACCCAGTGAGGAGCTACCACCTCTAGCTGCTTGGGCCACTGCCTGCCAGTGCTCCAGCCTCAAACCCTGCCCCCCTACAACAGTAGCGCGCCAGCGGTGGCTTCCTGCCAGGGAGGGGAGTAAGGAGGAAACCCAGAGGCTCCACAGTAGTAGCACCTGGAAAAAGCTGCCCAGGCCGCAGGCTGCCTCCAGCAGGAGCAAAGGGGGCAGTGGGCTCTACGCTGCCCTGATGCTGTAGTGTGCCATCTCAGCCTGTCCCTGGAACAGCTGCTTGCTGGCCCGGGGCCATTCACCCTGTGGGAAGGCGGCTGAGGGCAGAGGGGCGGCAGGATGAAAACTTTTCCTGCAAGACGCAGAGTGACGCCTGATGTCACTTTTGTTGTCCCACAGGAAAAAATTACTTTAAATGGTTTTAATGGATTATTGTAAAATTAAGCCACAAGAACATATTAATCCTTATTATATATTAAAGTAAATAAATATTAAGCAGTACACATTTACTGTATAAATCACAGAAATGAAGGGCTGGAAGGGACCTTGATAAATCATCATGCAATGAAGCAAGAACAAATATACCTAACACCATCCCTAACAGGTGTTTGTCCAACCTGTTCTTATAAACTGTTAGTGATGGGGATTCCCACAACCTCCCTTGAAACTCTATCTATCCTTATACTTAGAAAAATGTTAATATAATCTACGTCTCCCTTGCTAGAGATTAAGCCTGTTACTTCTTGTCCTACATTCCATAAAGATGAAGAACAATTAACTGATCACCATCAATAGTCTTTAACATATTTGAAGACATCAGTCTCCCCTCAGCCTTCTTTTCTCAAGACTAAACATGACAAGTTTTTTTTAAACCTTTCCTCATAGATCAGGTTTTCTAAACCTTTTTTCAGTCTTGTTGCTTTCCTTTGGACTCTCTTCAGTTTGTCAGAACTGGACACAGTACTTCTGCTGATGCTTCACCAGCAGAGACTACAGCAGGACAATTACCACCCGTGTCGTACACACGAGGCTTTTGTTAATCCACCCCAGAATTATATTAGTCTTTTTCAAAATTGCATCACATTGTTAACTCATGTTTAGTTTGTGATCCACTAACTTCCAGAGCCTTTTCCAGTACTGCTGCCTAGCCAATTATTACCCATTTTGTAGCTGTGCATTTGATTATTCCTTCCTTCATGAAATATTTGCACTTGTCCTGACTCAATTTAATCTTCTTGATTTCAGGTCAATTCTCCAAAACAATCTTAACAAATCAAATTTTAATCCTGTCTTCCAAAATGCTTGTGATTACTCCCAACTTGGTGTCAACTACAAATTTCACAAGCACACTCTCCACTTCATTTTCCAAATCATGAATGAAAATGCTGGATAGGAGTGAATCAGGACCCACCCTGCAGGACTGCTCTAGATTGGCTCAAGGCTGGGAAGACCTTCAATAACTACTTTGAGTATGGTTTTTCAGCCAGTTGTGCACCTACCCCTACCCCTTATAACAGTGTTTCTTAAACTGTGTTGCGACCCCCCCCCTTTTTTTGGCTTAATAAGCCCCCCCCCCCCACAATAAAAAAAATCCTTGGTGTTCCTCATACAAAAAATTGTTTGGTGTTCCTCGGTCTTAAAAAGTTTAAGAAACACTGCCTTATAGTAAGTTTGTCTGTAGGGACATGCCTAGACCACATGTCCCTTCAGGTTGGACCTCTTTGGTCCAGCACTCTCAGGATGTGACTGGTCCCAGATGAGGGATTTTGCAGGACCTAAGGAGGTCATTTTTTCCACAAAGTGCAAGTGATGTATTTTTCCTTAGGCTAGTTCTCAGAAACTGACTGAAAACATCCACACATACACAAAAGATTCAGAACAAGGCAGACCCCTGGCATGGAAAACTTCAGGCTACAACAGCTAAAACTTCATAAAGTTAATCAACTGAAAACAGGATCTTAGAATGGGAAGTGATGGACAACCTTAATAATAAAGAGTGCTATAGCCTCCAATGTAGGATACTTGTATCCATAGATAATGACTTAACTTTATACTTTCATACCCATCTGTAAGGCAGCAAGTGACAGCCATGCACTTAAATTCTAAAGCATAATGTTGTTTAGTTTTCACTACCTGTAAATGTCATCTGCACATTTGAGCGTATGATCACACAGGTTAATCTCCTGATGTATGATATTCAGCAAGATATACAAAAACATCTATTGGATATTAATTCATTCACAAACTTCAACAAAAAGCAGCTCAGTTTTACTAGGGTTACAGATCCAAGAATCAAAACTTTCAATTTAGTCAGTCTCCAATAATAGAAGTCATTTGCTGCATTACTAAGAGTTTACATAACAGAACAACCGTTACCTCTTCTCCATCACTTCCTGCAGGTCCTGGTATTCTTGATGCTGTTTTAATTCCTTTAGCTCATCAAAACGCTTCAGTTGCTCACTTGCCATATCAGAAACCGCTCTCACCATCTCCTCTTGCTGCTCCTGCCTCTGCCTGAGCCCCTCCTGCAGATTACCAGGAGAAAGGAAGAGCCATTCACATATACTTTGCATTGTGAACACAGCTCTGCCAGTGCTAACTCCTCAGGAAGAAAGCAGACTCTGGAGGGCCAGATTCCACATTAACAGCCCCACCAGGGACTTTGACAAAGACAGGAACTGCATTATCACTAGGATCTGTACAAAAATTAATGCAAGTAGCAAATACTAAGCCAAGACAACCATAATCATGTTTTAATTTACAGGTTATCTTTGTGTCCCACTAGTTTTAATGGAACATTATCACATTTGGCTACATAGTGCCTCAGTTATTCAACATGCCTTGTTACCTTTCCTTTCAATCTGTGGACCTCTTCATACATCCATATGCAGCCTTCCACCTCTGTAACTTTAGATGGTAGAACCATAAGATGGACTTCGTGATCTGTGTCAAGCAGGCTAAGATCTTCATTGCCCTAGAAGGACAGTCCGACAAACCAAGTCAGTAACAGACTAGATCAGTAGTAAGTTATTCAGGAAATCAGGTAAGCCAACAATCTTTCTCTAAAAAAATAGCATGCACCATAAGAGACATAAGCAGACTACTGCCTATCTATGGTTCTTATACCGCTTCCATCTCTACAGTATTTTAGTTGCTGACTAGCTTTAATGTATTTATCCTCCCGAAACCAGGTGAGGTAGGGAAATGTTGTCTTCATTTTGCAGAAGAGGGAACTGACTCCCAGAAATTTTCTGAAGCCAAGTGATTTGCTCAAAGTTGCATAGGAGGTCTGTGATGGAACACAGAAAAGACTGATTTATAACTGGCATTCTTAGATATGTGCTGTTCATGTATAACAAGTGGGGTTCTGCAGGGGTCTGTTTTGGGACTGGCTCTGTTCAATATCTTCATCAACGAATTAGATATTGGCATAGAAAGTACGCTTATTGAGTTTACAAATGGTACCAAGCTGGGAGGGGTTGTGACTGTTTTGGAGGATAGGGTTATAATTCAAAATGATCTGGACAAATTGGAGGAATAGTCTGAGGTAAATAGGATGAAGTTTAATAAAGACAAATGCAAAGTGCTCCACTTAGGAAGGAACAATCAGTTTCACACATACAGAATGAGAAGCGACTGTCTAGGAAGGAGTATGGCAGAAAAGGATCTAGGAGTTATAGTGGACCACAAGCTGAATATGAGTCAGCAGTGTGATGCTGTTGCAAAAAAAAGCAAACATGATTCTGGGATGCATTAACAGGTGTGTTGTGAGCAAGACATGAGAAGTCATTCTTCCACTCTACTCTGCGCTGGTTAGGCCTTAGTTGGAGTATTGTGTCCAGTTCTGGGCACCGCATTTCAAGAAAGATGTGGAGAAATTGGAGAGGGTCCAGAGAAGAGCAACAAGAATGATTAAAGGTCTAGAGAACATAACCTATGAAGGAAGACTGAAAGAATTGGGTTTGTTTAGTTTAGAAAACAGAAGATTGAGGGGGGACATGATAGCAGTTTTCAGGTGTCTAAAAGGGTGTCATAAGGAAAAGAGCGAAAACTTGTTCATCTTGGCCTCTGAGGATAGAGCAAGAAGCAATGGGCTTAAACTGCAGCAGAGAGGTTTAGGTTGGACATTAGGAAAAAGTTCCTGTCAGGCTAGTCAAACACTGGAATAAATTGACCAGGGAGGTTGTAGAATCTCCATCTCTGGAGATATTTGAGAGTAGGTGAGATAAATGTCTATCAGGGATGTTCTAGACAGTATTTGGTCCTGCCATGAGGGCAGTGGACTGGACTCGACCTCTCGAGGTCCCTTCCAGTCCTAGTATTCTATGATTCTATGATTCCACTTTACGTGCGTGTGCTTGCCACATGCACTGGTGCTGGACGTTTTTCCATCAGCAGTATCTATAGGGGAGAGGCTCTGGCTGCTCCTGGAATGGTGCCTTCTTGGTGCAGTACAAGGGGCACCATGCGCTCCTCCAATCCTCAGTTTCTTCTTGTCAGAAACTCTGATCATGGAATGGACACAAGTTACAGAACAGGTCTTTTCTTTTTAGAGTGCTTACTCATGTCTGTTCCACATTAGGTGACTTCAAGCAGTACCTGTAGAGGCAAGTAGGAGTTCACAGACATGCAGTTTGTAGCACAGCTCTACCAAATCCAGCATTGTCTCTAGCCTGTTGATCCACATGTTCATGTCTCATTGTGCATGACTCAAGGACCATAACGCAGCTATACAGATGTCCTAACCGGAATGTGGGCCAGGAAGGCTGCTGCTGAGGCCTGAGATCTGGTCAAATGCGCCCAGATGTTCAGTGGCAGCAAGACCTTTGACAACTCGCAGAAGGTCCTTATGCAAGAGATTCTTTAAGATGATACCAGAAGGTCCTTCATACTATCAGCCATGGTGACAGAGCTGCATGGACTTATGGAAAGACTCTCAAGTAGAATACCAAACCTCTCCTGACATCTAGAGCATGCAAATACTTCTATGCCATATTATTTGGCTTGGGACAGAACACAGGCAGGAATAGGTCCTAGTTTACATGATAGGAAAACCCCACCTTAGGGGAAAAAACGCGAGATGGGATGCAGTTGGACCTTGTCCTTCTTCCAAGACAAGTAGGAAAGTTAGCAAGAGGCCAGTGGTTTAAATGGTACACAGGTGAGTCCTGGAGGAAAAAAAGGTAAAGGTCCCACACCTGGGGTTAGACATCTTGAGGCCCCTCACAAACTTAACTGTCACGTCATGACAAAAGACCATCTGACCCTAGATTGGCTGGTGGAAAGCAAAAAAGGCTGCAAGGTGTACCCTGATGGAAGAGTGAGCCAACCCCTGGTTCCTTTGAGGTGCAGTAAATAGTCTAATGCAGACTGCACAGAAGAGTGCAAGGGAGAGATGCAGAAAAGCTTGGACGCAAGCAAAGTCCAGGACCATGCCAATAAATTCAATCTTCTGTAGAGGGATTAATATTGACTTCTTGTTGTTCATGAGGCGGCAGAGACCTGCAAGTGGTATCTCCTCACTGTCATGTCAGTCCTTGGAGTGGCCTTGTTGAGTCAGTCATTGAGGTACAGGTATATCTGCATCCCATGGGCTCCTCCAATTCCTCTGCCTAGAGCCAAGATTTGATGCCACTTTCTTTAATAGCTCTTGATGAGCCTTAGGATCGTCTTGCGGAACCAGATGCAGGGGAGCCAAAATAGACTCATCTGGCAGCAACGACGTCAAAATCAGTATCATGGTTGTTTCCATATCGCCTGGTGGTCCAGCAATGGGTTGCTCTGTGCCCTCATGGCCACCTTTAGGGCTTCTACCTGAGGAGCAGGATGCAAAGCTGCAGCTGATAGCTGGGGTGAGGCTATGTGACCCCTCTGAGACCCAGCAGTACCATGCTGCTGTTCACTGGCCATAAGGGGGCGGGGGGGTGCTGGAGTACCAACAACACTGATGATATCTCCTGGACTTGGCCCACCATCTGGTTTAAGCCATAGATGGAGGGTGAACAGACAATGACCAGGGACCAGGAACTGGTGGATCTATGATCCCTCACTGAGCAGTGTTTTTAGCCAGGATAAGTCCCCGGCACAGGAGGCTGGTGACCAGCAGCAATCAGCCGATAGATGATAGTAAACCATTAATCTATATCTAAAATTGTCTGAGTGGTGCCAGGATGGGGCTGGGAACTAGAGTACACCCAGGCATCTTGAGGGACCCACTGCATGGGAGAGATGTCATGGTGACTTTTACCACAAGAGATCAAACATCAGTTGCAGTTTGCAGAATGTTTTCATGATCAGCAACAAGGTGAAATGAAGAATTGGTGCTTCTCCTCTAGCCAGTGGGCATGTGCCTCCACAGATCTACACCATGACACTGGTGAACTGCACTCCAATTCACACTGACAGGGCCCACAGCAGGCTCCAGCTGGCCTGCCTCCCTATCCCTGGGGCATGTTGGCTCCACATTGGTGAGTGTGGTTGGGATGTTCCCCGGGGCGCTGCTGAGATGGGGACCTACAGATAGGTCTCAAAGCAGGTTTTCCTTTAGACTAGGGAACTGCTAAAGCTGGTGTGGATGGCACCAGTAACGTCAAGAGCCTGTGGCTCTTGTACATTTCAAAGGGAGAGGCACAGCAGTTGGGTCCCCGCACAAGGAGGGACTGCTTTGGTCCCCACTTGCGTGGGTTCCCTGCTGCGCCTCTGCCTCCCTGTGGAAATGGTGCTGGAGGGAACGGTTTTTAAGCTGATACAGAGGCAGCAAGGGCAGGGGCAATTAGTTGAGTAGTGACTCGACTACCCAATAAGTCTCATCAGGTAGTCGACTAGTTGCTTACATCCCTAAGTGGGACTTCTATACAGTGAAGGCACTCAGTGTTTGGTGTAGCAGACCTGGTTGGGGTAGTCTAGACCACTCTACTTGAGCTGGTACGCTACTTCCTGAAAAAGGAATTGAGTTGCCCAAAGCAGGTCATGATTCTCCTCCAACCCTTCCTTTTCCCTTATGGGAGGTGGGACATCTTCCTTCAAGTTTTTTGGCCCTTTTGGAAGTAATTGTGGAGGGAGACCAGTACTGGCTGGGGGACTGCCAATTACAAATACGATACTTGCCACTAACAGGTCCTTCTCCCAGACAACTCAGGCAGCTGGTGTGAGGATCGCTGATGGGTACGGTACACCTACAGCAGTCACATGACTTGAAGTCAGGGGACTGGAGCATCCCAAGGCAAAGTTCCATTCAGGACCAACTACTAAGTAACTGTGACTAAAGTACTAATGAAAATACTAGACATTACAAATACGATACTTGCCACTAACAGGTCCTTCTCCCAGACAACTCAGGCAGCTGGTGTGAGGATCGCTGATGGGTACGGTACACCTACAGCAGTCACATGACTTGAAGTCAGGGGACTGGAGCATCCCAAGGCAAAGTTCCATTCAGGACCAACTACTAAGTAACTGTGACTAAAGTACTAATGAAAATACTAGACAGTTGGGATGTGAAGGACTAGTCTACTAGTCGACTATTCAATAAGCAAATGCTTATCGGATAGTTGACAAGCTGGTCGACTGCTCGCTTCACTCCCCCACACTTTGCTGCCTCTATCAGAGAGAGGCAGCAAGCGAGAGGAAAGGGGTACTTCAAAGCAGCAGCGCTGCCACGGGAACCCAGCGTCCAGCTCCTACCAGCATTTCAAAGCAGCAATGCCGCATAGACCCTGGGGTCAGTTGGGGACTCCGCACTGACCCCGGGCTCCGTTGCTGCTTTGAAACACCACAGGGAGCCTGACTCTGGGCTCCCGTGGCATTTCAAAGTGGCAGCACCGTACAGAGCCCAGGGTCAGCAGGGAGACACCAGTGTAGCAACAGCACTTCAAAGGTGGAGATGCCCTATCGACTATTTGATTAGTCAATTACCCTAGCTCCTTATATATGCACTATAGTTAACTAATTACCTTTGTTTCACTGCGTGCTGCAGATGAAAGTGGTGAAGAGTTCAGCTGGCTGGCAGGAGAAGTGGTCTTTGCAAGGGAAGGTGGTTGGTCATCTGTAGGGGGAATGGATTCATTGGGTGATGAACTTCGGGAGAGAGGCGTTTCCTGTAGAGATTGGGAGATCACTCGATCCAGCACCCAACCAGAGTAGGGAGATAACTTTGGAGGGCACCTGCATCCTTCCAAAATATCCTGGATAGAAAGAGAGATAATTTGTTCTATGAACATGTAAAATAGCAAAGTGAACCACAAAACACAGTAATTTAACTTTAAGGGAGAAAAAAAAGCAGATCCTGAAAAACCTCTCAGCATGTCTCATTCGTGGGGCTTCATTGTGTAAATATCATTATTACTTCATCTTATTGTGCCAGCCTCTATTGAGCCCCATTAGTCCCGTTCTTCCATGAACTTACTTCCTTGCAGCCCACTATGCATGGAATGCCCTTCTTGAGCTGGGCCACATAGCGACTTACCCTCTCCTAACTTGAATTACTCTACAGTAAAGATATTAAGAAGCAGGAAATTGACTAATCATGCAGTCAATACAATTTGTATCAACTACACGATTTGTCAATAAGAGGGCCCCACTGCAGCTCTGCAGTATAAATGTAGGAGGAGCCGGGTGCACAGGTAGCCCGGCTCTTACTACATTTAAAATGCAGAACTGGAGCCTAGGTAGATCTGGGAACCAGCACAAACTGAGACTGAGCAGTCCTGGCTCCCTCCAGGTCCCAGACCACTGTGCCCTTGCCTTCTGTGTCGCCCCACCCCGTACTACGGAGACAGTGCTGAGGGAACTGGCTTTTAAGGCAGGTTCCCCCCAGCAACTGGCTCCTGCCCTCCCACTTTCTTCCTCTGATACGGAGGCAGCAAAGGAAGGGGGGAGCAAGTAGCTGAGTAGTGACTTAACTAGTCACTTACATCCCTACTCCACAGAGCCACTTTTTCGATATTATGCCAACAAAAAGCCAGTTAAGTGTATGTCTTCACTAAAAACACTGCAGCTGCACCAGTATAGCTACAGAAAGCATTATCTACTCATTGTACTTAATCCCAACTCTCTGACAGGCAGTGGCTAAGCTGATGGAAGAATTCATCCACTGATCTAACAATATCTACTAGGGATGTGAGTTTAATCGATTAACCGGTTAACTGAAAAGCTGATGCTTATCAATTACTGTCATTGGTTAAACTCTGCCCTGCTCCTGGGCAGCAGCAGCGTCGCCTCCTCCCCAGCTGAGCCACCAACCCTTGCCCACCTGGCACCAGGGAAGGTGGCTTCGCTCTTGGGGAGGTTTTATTGTAGGCTCTGCTGCATGAGGTTTATTTAAGCTTTATACTGCAGAGACCACAGCATATGTAACCACTAAGATTAACTGTTACACAGTTACCTTAAATGACTTTTAACATCCCCAATATCTACACTGGAGTTTAGGTCAGGTTTAGAGCAGGGGTGGGGAACCTCAGGCCCAGGGACCAGATGTGTTCCTCGGTTTACCTGGATCCAGTTCCTGAGACTCAGCCACCCCTTTCTCCCCCAGCACTGGGGAGTCCGTACTGGTGCTCCAGCACCTCTGTTGTCCCCTTGGGGGCTGGAGCACACAAAATCTTCTAGGCTGGGCCCCCCTTGTCTCTGGTGTGCAAGGGAATGTGGGGAGTATCTTTCTCTTTCAATCACGGGCCACAACAAGAGGGCTCCCCCTCCCGCCACTTCTCACTTGCGTGCAGCCCTCAACTGATTTTTCTGTGGATCAGTGGCCCCTGACCAAAAAAAGGCTCCCCACCCCTTGTGTTGGGAATGAATTTTTCACACCCTTAGGCAATATAGCTAGCATGACCATGTTCATTTCACTTATCCCATGACTAACTTCTCAGATATTAGAGGTGAGGGATCAAATGGTAGGAAGGAGAGAGAGAAGGCAGAACTGAACTTGTGTATTGTTGTTGGGGAAGAAAAAGAAGGTGAAGTGTGGGATTGGGGGGAAAGAATGCAGCATGTTTAATTTGTTATGAATCAACATTGCTCTGATTGTCTTGCTTGTCTGCTGTATTTCATTTAACACCCTCATCTTTGTCTTTTCATATTGGTGACCTCTTTCAGGGCAGACACTGTACTTTCCTCTGTTTGGAAAACACCTAGCATAGCCATGGCTGTCATCTAGGGATGTAAAATCATGTGTAATTGGTTAATCAGTTAAACATGAAGTTGACTGGAGCGCCCCATTGCCACAGGTAGGGGCTGCTCCCTGCTCCAGATGCCTGGAGCAGCCCCTTGTCAACAGCAGGCAGGAAGCTGCTCCAGCCCCCGCCAGATAACTGGAACAGGTAAGCATCACCCATTAAGGGTGATGCTTATGGGTTAAGCTTTCACATCCCTTGTTGTCGTCACAATCTAGTTAATCTCCAGATAGATTTGGGAACAGTTATGGAAAGAGACAAAGAACAGTCTTGAGGAACTATGGTTCAAAGGGAAGTTTTATACACAAGGAGTAGGAGTGCTCTAAAGGCAAAGTTTACTGGCCACATATGCAAGCTAGTTGCTATGCACGAATGGATCTACAAGGGACGTACTCACTAGGCAGAAAATTAAAAAATAGATTTATCTGTAGCTGCTAGATGCAAGCCAACATCACTTAAGAAAGAAGGGGACCCTGCAGTTGAACTAAGTCTGAATCTTCTTTTGAATATTTAACAGTGAACATTTCTCAAGAAACTCATCTGACTTGAAACAAACTCTACACTTCAGAGATCACCCCCCAATGATCAGAGATTAACTAATGAACTATGGGAAGAGCAGAAATCAGCTTTAAAAATGAAGCGACATGTAAACCTATAATACTTAAAATATCTGGGGCAACAAGAACTAAAGAGGCTGAAGGGACACAAGTTTTCAGAATTAGATCTTTATATAAATCATCAACTATGAAATACTGCAAACAAGATTTTGGACAGCACCAGTCAGGACACATGCACAAAGTGAGGGGTTATATAACCCTTAATTACAGCAGTGGGTCTTAATCTGCAGATTGCCATGTTTCTTCTTCTTCCTATATATTTCAGTTATGTGTGTGTCTGTCTGTGAATGTTCAAGAACTCCTCCTAAACGGTAAGAGCTAGGAGCACCAAATTTGGTATGTAACTTCCTCTTAACCTAACTTAAAGCAAGGTCAAGGTTTTGTTGGGCTAGGACAATGAGATGTGCCTAGAATTCAGTTGCTTCTCAAATGGAAAGAGGGGGAGGCACCTGGCAGGAGGGACATATACTGCATAATGACCACAGTTGGGCAGCAAGAGGCCAGAGATGGGAACCCAATTGGGCCAGCAAGGGAAGGGGGGGGGGCCGCCAGCAAAAAAGGGACAACTGTCTACTACAAATTTCAAAAAGTTTGTCTGCGTGCCTGTCCCCCAGCCAGAGAACATGCCCTCCCTCCTCCAGCTGTGTTCACTGCAGCAGCTGTCGACAGGCACTTCTCTCCTTGCCTGGAGCTGCTGAGGTGAGAGAGGGCTGGAGTGGTCCTCTCTCCCCAGAGCAGTCTGCATACTGAATCCCTCATCACCAGTCTAACCCAAGAAATGAAGTTAAAAACCCCCCAAAAAAACCTTATTTGAGGTAAGTGAGGAAGCGAATCACGAGGATGAACGAGCAACAAAGGAGGATCCCTGATTCGGATGGAGATCAACTGGTTATCTAAGGTGTTTGTACATAAATGTGAAAAGCCTGGGAAACAAACAGGAGGAATTAGATGCCCTTGCCCTGTCGAAGAACTATGATTTGACATAACGGAGACTCGGTGGGATGACTCGCATGACTGGAGCACTGTTATGGAAGGGTATAAACTGTTCCGGAAGAACAGGTGGGGGAGAAAAGAAGAAGGAGTTGCATTGTATGTAAGAGAGCATTGTATGATTGCTCAGAGCTCCAGTATTTAGAGGGAAAAAAGACTGTTGAGAGTCTATGGGTTAAGTTTAGAGGTGGAAGCAACAAGGGTGATGCTGTGGTTGGGGTCTGCTATACACCGCTGGATCAGGTGTATAAAATAGACGAGGCTTTCTTTGGACAACTGAGAGAATCATAGAGCTGGAAAAGACCTCAGAAGGTCATCAAGTCCAGCCCCCTGCTCTAGGCAGGACCAATCCCAACTAAATCAACCCAGCCAGGGCTTTGTCAAGCCGAGACTTAAACACCTCTAGGGATGGAGATTCCACTACCTCCCTAGGTAACCCATTCCAGTGTTTCACTACCCTCCTAGTGAAGTAGTTTTTCCTAATATCCAACCTGGACCTCTCCCACCACAACTTGAGACCATTGCTCCTTGTTCTGCCCTCTGTCACCACTGAGAACAGCCTCTCCATCCTCCTTGGAAGCTCCCTTCAGGAATTTGAAGGCTGCTATCAAATCCCCCCTCACTCTTCTCTTCTGCAGACTAAACAGACCCAACTCCCTCAGCTGCTCCTCATAGGTCACATGCTCCAGCCCCCTAATCATTTTGGTTGCCCTCCGCTGGACCCTCTCCAATGTGTCCACATCCTTTTTGTAGTGTGGGGCCCAGAACTGGACACAGTACTCCAGATGTGGCCTCACCAGAGCCGAATAAAGGGGAATAATCACTTCTCTGGATTGAAAGTCACAACTGAATTGTCAGAAGTCCTCTCTCTCTCAGTCCCATTATGATCACTAAAATGGTCTTCCTTGTCCATCCATCTGACCAAGCCATCAATATATCAAATTTTAAAGTGATAATAAAGCTCAAGTCCTTATTCAACTCCTCCTCAACCTAAGTTTCTATCTTATTTTTTCCTTACTTTTCACTCTGCCAATAATACTCATTTTCCAGTTCCTGTCTCAATGCCTTCTTCCATATCATCCTCTGTGCAGAGAAGGCCTTCTCCATCCTAGTTCATCAAGCCATCTGCTTATTAAAATTCAAATTCCTACTGAATATCTACCAGAATTGATAACATAAAATCTCCTTAAGCCTACCTCTGTATTCTCAGGGGTCCTGGACAGTTTGCAGGCTCATTCTGTGTCTGTATGGGCAAGAGTACAGTCTGTGCTTTGTTCTTGTCTACATTACACATGCTCTGCAGAAATACCTATACCAGTATAGCACCCTAATATAGATACAGCTTATATATGCAGGGGCTGTTTCAGTGTGAATTTGCTAATATCTCCCAAAGATTATTGTGGACATGAACACTCTTCCACCCGCACATCTCCATCTGCCTAAGCTAAAAATGCTACAGATGCACCACAGGGATAGCATGAGGGGATCCCCCTGACCCTACATACCAGGGATGGCTGGGAGTGGGTGACCCACTGATGGGGGGGAACTCTCTCGGCCTGTCCCTGGGTGAAGAGCAACTGCCCTACCAGTGTATGAGGGTTTCCCAGACCCTCCCACACTGGGCTGGCCAGGAGCAGGTGCTCCCCTCTTTTGTGTGCCTGAGGGGGTCCCGAGCAGGGATAGCTGGGACCTCCCACTGTGTGGAGATGGCCGTGGCCGGAAGCGGGCGCAACCCATTTGGGGAGGCGAGAGAGACTGGCCGGAAGCGGGTGCAATCCATGTGTGTGGAGGGGAGGTGTCCCAGAAGCTGTGCAGCCGGGGGTGAGGAGGAGGGTCCCAGAGCGGGATTGGCCGGAGCGGTAGCAGGCAGCGGTCCCCCGCTCCGCACTCACCTCACCGCGCAGCAGCCAATCCCGGGAGTAGCTCAACTGCCCCTTGCTGGAGCCTTTCAGCGCCTCCAGGGTCTCCCAGCGGTACCGCTCCGACGGCATCTCGACCCAGCCCCAGGCTCGCTACCGACCAGTTGCAGCTCCGCCAACCGCCGCGCATGACGGGAACACAATGACCTTTGACCCCTCACGCACGCTCGTTCTGTTTCCGGGCACCTGCAGTTCTTCTGCCCCCCCTCCCCCTTCCATGAGGAAACCGCAGTGACGCTACGGAGACGCCGTATCGTCCCCTGCTGGCGCGCAGAAAGCGCTGCAGCCCTCAATGGGCCTTGGGGTCTGCTGGTGCGGCGCCGCCTGTTAACCCCTCAGCCCCCCGCAGGTTCGTGTTTCCAGGGGCTGCCCGACGGGGAACCAACCGCCGCCCTGCGAGTGAAAACGCCAGGCCCCTGAGAGCCGGACATACTCCCCGTTGTGTCCGTGCCTGGGCTCAGCAGCACAAAGCGACCATCCCCTCCCCAGAGCAACTGCAACAGAACAAGATTTGTCTATGCTGATGGAAACGAGCCAGCTCAACCAAGGGGCGGCCTCTTCAGAGCCAGTGATAGAAATGTAGCCCTGTTAGTCTGGTGTCACTTCAGGGTCTCTACCAAGCATGTATAACCCTCAACTACCCACCCCGAGAAGTAAAAAAGCAAATTGAAAGAGCCAGACGAATACCCAGAAACCATCTTCAAGACAGACCCAAGAAAACCAACAATAGATCACCACTTGGCATCACCTAAGTTTGAATAAAGACTTCTAATTATCTTACCCATTACAAAGATAGATTCCCCAATTATCACCTCTAATATCATTAACTCGCAGACATTTACCTCCCCCCCATCCCCTTTCCATTCTGAAATGTGATTTGTCCTTTTCATATGTGTTCATTTTTTTAATTGTATCCTTTGGTATATTGGTTGTGACCATTTTCTTCCACTATTTGATCTGAGAAAGTGGGTCTGGCCCACGAAAGCTCATCACCTAATAAACCATCTTGTTAGTCTTTAAAGTGCTACATAGTCCTCTTTCTTTTTTTCTTCAGAGACAGAATGATAAATAGCAAGGAAGCTGCAGCACAGGGAGCATGTGAAGGAGCCAGCTAGGGTTGCCAGATGTCCAGTTTTGAACCAGACAGTCCAGTATTTGAGTTTTCTGTTCAGGAAACAAATTGAGAAAATATAAATGTCCGGTATTTTCTAAATAAAATGTAATGTAGATTGTGATGTAATGTCAAGTGTGTCCCGTATTATTGTTGAAACCCTCTGGCAACCCAAGTCAGCCAACATTTTCATTTTCCACCACACAGCAGCAGAGAAAAGCAATACACGCTTATGCTGGCTATGTCTCGATTTTTCTGGGACAGTCCTGAATTTAAATACTCTGGCCCAGTGTCTCCATCAAATAGTGAAATGTCCCAGAATGCCCCACCAGACATTTCACTGCTTGATGGGGACACCAGCTCACAGGAAGAAGCAACCAAGAAATGGCTCTGTGCTATTGCTCCTTGTGCGGTGCAGCAGCCACCACCTCCTTCTCCCCCCAGTAGGGTGCATATAGGCAGCTCCATTGGAGGTTTGCCTGTGGGCAGTCCCTCCCTTCCCCCACAGGACCACCTCTGTGGGGCAGGGTCCTGGTCTGGTAGCCTACTCCGGGCCGCTTGTTAGTACAGTGGCTACCCACTGCGGGGGGGGGGGGGGGGCTGGGCAGGTCCAACGCAAACCCCAGTGGAGTGGCTCCCGGATCTCCTTGCCTTGGAGCCCCTGCAGGAGCCACACAGTGTCTGACTGGGGCACTGCGGGGTGGGGCACGCTCAGGCTTGGCAGGTGCCAGGACTGCAGGGCTATGTCTACACTGGCAGGTTCTTGCACAGAAATATCTCGCGCAAGATCTCTTGTGCAAGAAAACGTCCACACTGGCCAGAACCGCATCGTGAGAACACTGAGCTCTTGCGCAAGAAAGCGTCCACACTGGCGGGAAGCCCTTGCGCAAGAACGTGTCTCCGGAAGCAAATTGGCCATGTCAGGAGGTCACTAGCACCTGACCGCCCATGTGTGGTGTGGAAAAAATTCTATTTCACAATGAGTCTAAACATTACCTGGAGAAAGTACACAAATTGGACATTTAGCTTTTGCTGCTTCCACATACCATTTCCCTCTTTAAGGCTTTCCTGAAATGTGAATGTGAAGGTGTTATAGCTGTGGATTTCCTCATCATCATCCAAGAACAGCACCCATTTTAGGTGGCTGATCTTGGGTTTATACTGACTTCCTGTGTAAGGTCTGTTTTCTATCATTTTAGATTGAGCTCCAGGGTGACAAAATGGAAATGACAAGAGAGAAGTATCAGTCTGCCCAGGAGGAGAACAAGCAGCTGATCTTGAAGCTAGAGGAGCTGGAGAGGTTAGAATATATAACTAGTTTGCTCTCCATGTCTGATTTGTTTTCTCTTCTCCTGGTCTTCCTTAGTTAGGTGATCTGCCCCCAGGACATTGCTGGCTTCACCAGTCTCGGCTTCCCGAATATATAACTAGTTTGCTCTCCATGTCTGATTTGTTTTCTCTTCTCCTGGTCTTCCTTAGTTCCTTTTTCAAGACACTGAGAGAGCTACTAGCTTGCTTGTACCTTTCCATCTTCTGGAGCCTTTGTGATTCAAGTGCCTTTGTAGAGTAAAAAAAAATCACAAAGTCTGGTTTGCATAAATTTGGAATCCTTCTGCAGAGAGGAAGTTGATGTCTTCAGTCAGGAAAACACTGAAGTAGAAGGACTACTAATTTCCCCATCCCTTTTTTCTTCTCCTCATGAACTTTCAATTACTTCTTTGTTCTGGTCAGATGGTTCCAGGACATTTATGTGGGGTGGTCGGGGCAGGCCCATAACACTCGCATCTTCAGGCACGCAGGCCTGTGCCACAGGCAGGCACCTACTTCCCCCAGCGGAATTCACCATTGGGGATGTCAGGATGCCAGTCTGCATCTTGGGGGATGTGGCCTACCCCCTGATGGCCTGGCTGATGCAGCCATACACTGGCCACCTGGACCACAGCCAGGCCACCTTCAACAGCCAGCTGGACCGGGCCCACAATCCTGTCGAGTGCGCCTTTGGCTGTCTGAAGGCACAGTTTAGGCGCCTCCTGACCCACCTGGACATAGGGGTGCAGCACATCCCGGAGGTCATCTCGGTATGTTTCGTGCACCACAATATTATTGGGAGGTGAGGGGGGGAGGCCTTCCTCCCAGGGTGGATGGAAAAGGGCCAAGCCTACCAGCAGCCCCACATGGCTGCCACCCGGCAGACCAATCACCATGGGGTTCGGGTCTGGGAAGCCCTCTGGATGATGCTGGACCAGGCCCCACAATAGGCCACTCCTACACCTCTGACCGCAGGGATGCCCCTGTGCCCCCACTTCCCGCTTCCAGCACCACCCCTTCCTGCCACCCTTCCCTCACCTCCCAATATATAAAATGCACTTGCTGTACATAAGGCACTTTTTTATTTACATG